GTTACATTTTTCTAGAAATGATTATCTTTCAGGTCTGATTTTCACTATTGCTCAAATAGTGCTTTACTGCGAAGGATCGTTCTCATATACGTCTCATAACCGCAGTTCACACATATGTTTCATATGTTTGTTGTTGTTTGATTTATCATCTACGGGTTTATATCGAATTAATTTGATGGCCTGCTCCCAGTTGGCTTGTTAGCTCAATTGGTAGAGCGCTGCACTAGTATCGCAGAGGTCAGTGGTTCGAATCCCGTACAGGCCTGAAATTTTTTTCAGGTCTGATTTTCACTATTGCTCAAATAGTGCTTTACTGCGAAGGATCGTTCTCATATACGTCTCATAACCGCAGTTCACACATATGTTTCATATGTTTGTTGTTGTTTCATTTCAACTTTGTTGATATATCCAAATTATGACTGATATTGACAGCAATTTATGAGCTCCTGCAATAATTAAAAGCAGTTCATCAATTGCTTTTTCTATGAAAATCGTAAGAAGATTCTTCGATATGATCCCGTCATCTTATCAATTGAAATTCTGGCCTTTAAAAGGAATTTTTTAATAGAATGTTTTTCGCACCGCGTGCAGATATGGAGACCGTTCCCCTCGATCCATCCTTGGTCGGACCTTTGCAGTGGTCTGGATATTAGTCGGAGTCTGTATTTGTTCCATATTCACTGCTACTTTAACAACCTCACTGACGGCCATTAGTCTGGATACCAAGAAGAGCCTACCTGGCTCAAAGGTACGAATGTATTGCTGCTGCTGACTGCCAGCAACGCTTGCTTTGGCTTGGCAGTAGCAGTAACAGTAGCAGTAGTGCTGCTACCAGTGCTGGTGGCAGCACTAACAATAGCACTAGTACCAGCAACTGAATAGCACTCGCACTAACAGTATCAGCAGTCCTGAGTAGCAGTAGAAACAGCAGCAGAAGCAGTAGCGGTTACAGTAATAGAAGCAGTAGCAACGACATTACCAGCAGCATTGCCAATAGGAGTATCAGTAAGATTCGCTGTAGCAGTAGCAGTCGCAGAAGTAGTAGCAGTGGCAGTATCATTACTAGTAGCTGAAGTAATTATAGTCGTTGCCGTAAGGATAGCAGTAACAGCCTTGCAGAAATATTAGCAAAAACATAAGCACAACTAAATGTAGTAGTAGTCGTCGTTGTCAATGTTTTTATGAACAAGAATAAAGTGGTACAAAAAACGTTACCTGCAACAAACGAATAAATTTTGCAGAAGTGGAAAACTTTAATGAAAAGTATTTTTAATTGATAAAGGCTTAATCCAAAGTTTCCCATGCAAATCTTTTCAATGTAAGTCTTTCTTTGAGCTCCAGGAAGCTGGTATCAAGAGTCACATTTGAGTGACACTCCTGCATGAAAAAGTATAGGATTAGTTTTGAAACAATGAGCAGAAGGCAGATTAGCCCTTACCTCATTTCCTCCAGCTAAGTCTGTTTGCTATCCTTAAGGTCGGCGTTCTCAAACGATCAATAGAAATGGCATTGGGAATGCAACATCAAGCCGACTTAAAATGTAAGTTTTGTTGAATTTTACTCTGGCTTCATTTAACAAGTAGAGATACCTTGACTGTGTTCTGTTCTGTTGTAAAGTACGCAGGAAGCGGACGGAAAGAACAGAGTACAGTCAAGGCTTCTCAGTAACGGCACCCGCTGGCAAACTGAGACGAAGGGAAAGTTAATGCTGAACGGCTGACTTTATCTACCTTTTAGTATACAATTCAGTTGAGGACATGAGGAACGCCTTGGATCAAGAGGAAATTGAAGGTAAGGTTGTGGCCCCTTTACCGAATAATGATTTTTTTTTCAAGTTAGTGGAAATTTTCGATCAAATTTGCTTATTTTTCTGATAGAAAATGAATGTTGGTCCTTCTGAAATCTACCTAACCTCATGGTAACCTCGATGGTAATAAACTTGACTAAATAAGCTAGTTTGCGCATGCTAAAACCAGTCCATAAACGTTACAGTATTAGATAAGGTTGCTGAGTCCATTTTATGGGTTCTTTCAGGTGTACTCTTGGATAATTACCAAATTAGTCATTATACCGAAACCCTTTTTCCGAGAAGTAAGTTCAAAATAGATGACGTCCTTAAAGAAGAGACGCTTTCCTACGGTGCTATGGTGAATGATAGCTTTTTAGCACAATGTTTTAACAAATTGATCGCTGAAGACAAGTACCTGATTTACGACTTTACCAAGAAAGAACTCAATAAAACACTGAAGGTAATTTTGCACTATTTAACAGTTATTCGCCGAAGCCAAATAATTGTTTTAGTATAATTGCTTGGGTGCTTTCGAATTCTCTTGTAAATTCGTTTTGATGTTGAAACCATTCTGTTACAATTGTTTGATTGCTCGGAACGAGTTATCTAAGTAGCTAATTTCCAGTGGAATTTAACAGGTTGTTTCATTCATCAGCGGAATCTTTTTTCTCTCGTGTCCTATATCTTCCTTTGGGAGAGTGCTTTGCCAAACGCAGAAGCATCTTTTGCGTTTTTTACAATTAAATTTTCTTCTATCGCGTTTATCATGTAGCACTTCTATTATAATCACCCCCACATGATTATAATCAGAGCGCGCGGATCTTTATAAGCACCAGAGAAATTATTCTAAATATGAGTATCGCCTAAAAATAAACAAATGCTTTGATATCAAATAGTCCAGCATAAGATTTCAACTTAACACCTTACTCACTACTCTAGATAACATTCATTTCTTTGTAGTTTCTTGTTATTGAAAGGAGTGATGTGAGACCAATTGCGTTTCTAATTGAAGCGCCCACAACTTGCTCCTGTTGATCTCCACGCACAATTTACCGAGACATTTCATTTGCGAACCAGATGATAGCGTTCCGTAATAACGCTTCAGTTTCTCCACAAATCGTCTTTTCGTCTTGATTAAGTGTCCCTCAATGAAAATTGAAGTTTATTCAGTTTAACAGTTACATTTTTCTAGAAATGATTATCAAGATCGTGGCGTAAAGAGAAAGTTTGCCAACTTGTTTTGTTTAATTGTTGTTTGTAGGGAGGAGGAAACGAGGCAGTGCGGAACTCCCAGAGTATCTTTGATCCCACCGGTGATTTGTTCTTTCCTTCGTTGTACTCCTGCCTCATTTTGATAGCCGTTATTTTCTTAATTGGCTTAACAGCTGAAGTGTTGTTCTTTAAATCATGCCGATGTCCAAAGACGAAACGTAAAAAGGGTAAGTGCTTTAATTTCCTTCTTTCTTTTAATCGCGGTCTTAGGAAATATGTGTTGAGGATCGGGGCCCATGATTATTTACTAAGGCGTGGATCACTTTACTGTGTTTTTTTTTTTTTTTGTTTTCGTGTGTGTGTTTTGTTTGCTTTTTCCCCTTCACAACCTTGGGACACACAAGCACCTCTTCCTTGCCAAATAAAAAAAAAAAAAAAAAAAAAAGAATCTACTCGCCTTGCATGTGGTCACATTCGCTGATTCCTGTCAATAATTAACTCACTTTTTATTTAATTGCTGTTTTAGATGAAGAGTTCACAGAAGCAATAGCAATGAATGAATCTAATGGCAGGCTTCCATCTCTTGATCAGCTGGAGAGTGAAATGATGAGTGATATACAGGCTTTGTTTGCCAAGTACCGCGAAAGGTTTCAGGAGTGTGAAAAAGCTAAAAAAAACCGAAACGCCTTTACTGTGCATTCCTCCGTGTGAACAAAAGCAAAACAGCAAAACCTGTCTAAATATCTGACACAAAAGGCCTTAACTAATTGATAAATCAAATCGTGTCTTGGTTCCTGAAATACCTGGGTAGCCTTTGACGGGATTTGTCTACGCTCTTGTCACAAGGAGGAGGACTGATCTACCGCGTCTACTAAAAGTTGGTGGACACTTAGCTTTCACTAGTACTAAAAATATGATTTAAGACTTTGCGAGATAACTAAAGAACAATCCTAGATAGATCCAGTCCTCATTGAATAAGCGCTTGAAAAATCAAATACAGCTGTAAAAAGGCGAAAAACATAAATACACTAATAAACAGAAGAGTTAGCAGAGAAGTTCAAAGTCGTTCACACCGGAAAATAAACTACTAGTTTGCTCTCCACGGCTATTTTTCTAATGCACATTGTACCATCCCGCATCCTATGAATTCAAAATCTTACATCATTGAATAGCGAACTTCTCAAACAAAGAAGATCCTTCCCTGCGTGTGGTAAGATGTAAGTTTGACAGCTACAAAAGGTTTGCTTCACCCAACTAAGATAACTTACCAAGACGTGACTGTCAAGGCTATGGTGTGAAAAGTGCATTTGAATTCTTCTTCCCGTTTTTTTTACATAATGGTTCTACTAAACATTATAACAGCGCGCGCGCTAGTCCTATCTAATTCCTATTGCGTCAACATGAACAAAATCTTTATGTACGCACGGCCGTGCTCAATAAAATGACGTGTGCAGTTTCAAAATAGCTGCAAAATTTCCGTCGTGTGAGTTCCTTAAGTTAAAGTTTCGGTAAGCGATATCAGTAAATTACGGTGGCCCAGTTTGGCCTTCGACCTTCCCGCAAGTAGTCAAGCCAATAAGCACAACGAAAATTAAACAAAACACAACTGGAGAAAATTTTAGCTGAAAGACATTCAACTAAGAAGACTACAAATGGGTCTGTGGCGACTTTTAAAGGTAAACGTCTCTGTTGATGACGTTTTTTTGGTGACATTTGTTAACTCTACCGAAAACCATTTAATTACAAAATCAACACAACAATCGGAGACGCCAACATTTTCGGGCAACTTTCATTTCAAAAAAATTTTACAAAACCGTCATTCAGCGCCCAAATTGTTTTCGTATGCCTCGAGCAACTCTTACACTTCTCTCGTGCTCTCCAAACTCCCCGCGTGCATCCATAACTCGATATACGCACGCTAAGCATGAAACAATTCTTAACTTTACTCGCACAGTGCCTCTCTTCACGCAGGAGTTGTAATCGGTGTATCGTCAGACAATTGGGAAAACCTGACGTAATGCTTGATGGGGAAGGGGGGGATGAGAGGTTGTTTTGCTGGTGGTTACCTGAGATCATCATCATCATCATCATCATCATCATCATCATCATCATAGTTTATTTAATAAAGCAGGTTGAGGGATAGGCAAGACATAACGTCCTGATGTGGACCTGCAATGGACCAGCATCCCATTCGGGAGGGAAAGCAATGATTTCTGTCCTTTTTACGGCTTAAAAACTGGGATGAGCCGATAACCTCCAGGGGTAAGGGTTAGTGTCGTATGCAAAATCACTTCTTACAGTTCATTAACTGTTAATATTTTCGCGGTCTGGTTACTTTCGCTCAGCCATGTCTCAGAGGATGCACTCAAACACTATCGCGATATATACAATGGAGGATTATTTTCTTAGGTGATGAACAGAATTAAGTAAAAAAGTTACTGATGGGACTGAAAACAGATATCAACTATGTGTGAGAAACTGACGGGCAGTGTTATCAATCCACTGCTGCGTGACTTAAATTATCAGGAGTATTCAGGTAGCTCTTCAGAAGCGCTAGGGTAGAATCTTTCTCTTCAGAGTGCTCCGTTTTCCAGATTTAAGTTATTTAATTTTTTTTAGTTTTGGAAATTCCTTTTTTCAACTGGTAGGGGCTTTGTTTTAGAAGTCCACTTGCACAACGCGGGCTCACTTTGCTGAAGTGAGAAAGCTACGTTTTGTCTCAGTAATTCAGACCTTTGGAAAATTATTATATTTATGAGCTTCATTTCAAAAGTGAAGGGGCCTAGTGATACTTTTCTAATCTTCCAATCTTGGGAGAAAATATAAAAAGAAAGATTATTTTGCACTTACGGTATTGTTGTGGTAGCCGTCGACGCTTTGTGCGTGTGACGTCATGGCGCAAATGGCCCCCGTTTTCGTCCCAGTTTCCCAAACACTCGACAGAGCTCTTGTTAACGAAGATAAGGTTACGAACGGGGAAGAAGTTAGTGAAGTATGGATTCTTCTAAGTTTGACGATCTTTTGATGGGAATCCTCCAGCACTGTGAACAAGTTGAACCCTTTTTAGATGCAATCTTCAGCTTTTTAGCCCGCAGGACCGACTTCTTTCTGTTGATGCACAATCGAGATGACAAAATGGGATTCGCTCCAGGTGTAGCAGAAAAGATGGTTTTAAAGGTATGGACGTTTCATCTATCAGCCATATAGGGTTAAATCTTCAGCAAGTATTTTACAGAACGATGATTTCAAAGAATACCGAAATACAGCTGTCATATATGCGTAACATATATTAATATATAACGTTTTTTTTCCTGATGATACCATGTATTAACTCATTTTATAATTTTTCTTCCTATTATTTTAGTGTCGCCAATGAGCTCTTTAAGCTGAGTGTTATGTTATGTTGTTTTTCGTGATTAGTGAAAGCTTGCACAAGGTTTCATTCTGAAACAGCAAGTGATAATGCGTATGAGACCTGCGTGAATATGTCGTGGGTGAAAGTAGAATTGACGTGGAAATAACTTCAAACTAGATTGAACAGCACTTTGCATCGTTATGAGCAAACCTTAGTTTGAATTTCAGCGTTAGTTTTTTCCTCTAATCAGGTTTTGAAATTGCTTGCGACTACACTGCCTATTCAATTAATAAATTCAGCAGAATCAGTGATGGTAATACGACTGAATGAAGTCCAATTCCAACTGTATTCATACAACTGGTATTTGTTGATTATAAGTAGGATGAGAGACGGTAACTGGCCAAGTCTCCCAAAAGTCATCTCGCCCAAAGTCATGTCGCCCTGAACCAGAGTCATGTTGTCCGAAAATCATAGTCATGTCGCCTGCAATCCTAAGTCATGTCACCCGAAATTTAAACTTGAAGAAAAGTAACAATCACAAGGAATAAACTCGTAAAATGTTGACTCATAAAATGTTTTCATCCACTAACCTATGCAAATATGATGTTAAACAAAGACTCAAATGTCGCTGTTCATTTCAGTGTTGTTTGTTACTATGAACTATACATCAAAAAAATACATAAATTTCTCTTAGTTTGATTTATCATATTTATTGTTAACCAAGCGAACAAAGTGTGTTAGTATCATTCCCCTGAGGATCAGATGCAGCATAAATTATAGCGACTTGTTCAGTTGTTCCTTTGTGTAGATTGTTGTGTTGATATTTTTTAACCAATACTGGACAATCCTACTATCCAATAATGCCACAGAAAAACATTCAAAGGGATCTTTTACTCCATTCAAATGACTTCACATAAATTTACAGAAAAGCAGAAGTTACCATGGTTGCCAAGCCACCTCTTTCCCCCCTTTACTTATGATGGTATTTCAACAGCAAGTTAAAAAATGTGTAGTTTTCAGTTTGACCCTTTTAAAACTAGTATCACTGGTGAATGAATAAATAACAGTCAACTAATTGAATTTCAGCATTATCCATTGTACCACTTGATTGATATACTATTAGAATAGTTTCGGAAGAGGCTTAAGGTGATTGCTCTGAAAAAAAAGTTATCAAACAATGTTGGGTAAACTTTCCATAAGTGTTCTGTATCTGTTTTGAAAATACAATAAGAAAGATAGGCCACCATGCTTATTTAAGAGACATGATGGGCCAAACATACCCCTTTTCTGCCTGTACTGGCACAAATCATTTCATTGGTTCACAGTACATTTTGCAGTAGCTGGAAGCAAGGGATTTTAAAGTAACACTTGAAAAAAATGTTATAATTAGAATGTCTTGAGGGTATGAAATAATTTGATAAATGATTTGAGGAAAAATCATGCAATTTTAAACAACTTTGACTCAAAACATTTTTCTAGTCATTGCTCTCTAGGTCATAAATTGCATTCTTGAGTTATGGGCTTTGTGCAATCTTTTAGCTATATCCTCTCTTCCCTTCAATGAATTTTTTTAAATTTCTCCAATTTAAAGGGGATAATTTGAACACAAAATTATGCAATAAAAATATGGGCCACTATGCTGGTTCAAGAGCTAAAACCTCTTTACCTGTTCCATTGATTATAGTTAACTATGCATTGATTAAAAAACGATACCATATCCTTGGAATGTGGGCTTATACACCTGAATATGTGATTTTTATGTGTAGTACAGGATGGGCAGTGCAATACAGAGGAATCACCTTAAGTGGATAAAAATAAAGATTTTTAAATACCAGGGGTTATTCAAGAGGGTGGCCCTTAAAGTATTTTTAAAAAAGTGAAAACTGCCATCAAGAGATGCCTTGTATCTACTGATACAAGTATTCACAGAAAATTATAATTAAGGGTGGGTAAACTATGACAATGCAATTATCTCTAAAAGTTAAAAAGATAACTAACTAGTAGAATTTGAAAACGTAAAGGCAAAAAAGAATAAATAACCATGATAAAAGAAAGCTCTTTTGCAACTTAACTGGGGGCAAAATTAGGTGATGGCTTTGCCTTATTGTCCTACAAATGATACCCCAAAGGAAGGTGGCACTTACTTAGACAAGTCACATTCCCTCACCAATTTGATTTGGTTATCAGTGACCTAACCCTAAAGAGTCTGTCACAAAGGTTTTTAGCTCTTCATCTCTGTTCTTTAACTGCATGCACACTCTATGGTAGTGACTCATTAAGAACTGCTCCAAGATATACTTGAACTTCATGCCTAATAAAGGAAATATGAAGAAACTTAAAAGACTGCCATCCAGTGAGAGATGTCGCAACCTGGTTATTATGCGGTTAAAAGCTCACAAGAGTACAAGTTGGTGGTTCAACATTCACACTTGATACACAGTTGAGGTCTCTCCTTTTGCGATTTCTGGCTTAGGAACACTAACAAATTATGTTTTCAGTTCTTTCTGACACTACAGAAGAAAACATGAAACATCTCACAATAATTTCAGGATTGCAGTGGCATCCACTGATGCATAATTCAAGTCAAAACTTTTCCCTGCAAAAATATCTCATCAGATGTGATCTGCACATCATGGAAGCTTTAAGGGAATTTTTTTCTTGAAAAGAGAGCACTTTACTGTTTGAATCATTGACTTATGCTGAAAATAGCCGCTAAATTTTCAAAGCGAGCGTGCTGTGAGATATGTTGCCTTGAATTATTCAATGGAGTGATGTAACAGTGAATCAGTGGAATGGCTGATAGCAGGTTTTCTGTTTTGCTTGTGACACAAATGTTCTGTAACACTACCTTCTAGTGTCATAATACAAGCTCTGGTTCTTTTCTATGTCACAAAAAATTGTGCCATACCAATGGCCACATGCAGTTTTTGACTGTCTATTTTTTTCCTTGTTGCTATGAGGTAGCTGATGTAGTGAATGATGATGATTGGTGTAAGTTAACATGGATTGGTGAAAGAGTTTCTGATTCTTGTACAGATCTTCAAGACTTATCAACAAATTGTCACTGGAAATCAAACAAGAACTAAAAAACAAGCACATGGAAAGATTTCAGAAAAAGGGAAGCAAAAATGTGTAGATGTTGAGAGGGCAACTGATAAAACCACAGCTGCCAGTGAAAAGGTGAGTTGTTGCTTATTTCACACAGTGCTTCGTCCTAGTTGCCATGTAATGAAATATTCCATAGTAGACTTTGGGAGATTGAAACATTCATAGTGGCATCTGAGTGGCCTGATTGAGTACATGTAACTCGTCTTGCCCAATTTGTAAACATCTTAGATTACATTAAGTTGTTCAATTATCCACAAAATGCTATTGTGCATACAACTACTGGATAACTTGATCAAATAGTATTCAAAGCATCTAGCCCTTAACATCCTAAATATCAGAATGCATATTCTCCACATCATTCTCTAAGCATTTCCTAGGGTGCTGACTGGCAGAATTTATTTAACAATCAAGAGCTCCTTTAGTTGGTGATCATTTCATTTATTCAAACCGTATGGCTTGATTCAGCAGTGATCTTGTAAGGAGAAATTATTAGATGTTAGTAACACTCACTGTTTGAATGAGGATTTGTAGGAATACCAGTAGATAAAAGAAGGAATGGGAGAGGGATTTTCAATACTGCAAACTGAAAATCCTTTTTTGTTAGAGATGAAAATAGCAATTTGTTTCCAAGGAGGATAGGGTATCTAGACAAATGAGCTGTAAACCTGAGTTTTAATTTTCTATCCTTGCAGACGATTCCATCTGTTCCCATGGCCTCATCTGATGCAGATATACCTCCAGCAATCACTTCAAGTGAAGTAGAAACATCACCCACAAGTGACAAGGGCCATGCCCAACTTCCTGCAAGTACAACTGAAAAGACACCAAGTGCTGCTTCAACATCCAGTCCCAAGTTTACAAGGTACATTGATTGTAGTGTCTGTTGATTTACATGTATTTTTGTTTTGTTTGGTTGATTGGTTGTTTTTTTTTTTTTTTTTCGCTTCTGGGTAATGGTTTGTTGCCTTGTAAAGCTTAACTAACAAAGTCTGGTAGGACATGTCATGAGTAAATATACACACTTCATCCTCAAACCGCTCGGACAGAAACATTTTTTCTGTCCTGCCTTGTACTGGCCATCAAGGCAGATTGCAAGCAAAATCTAGCTTGGCAATAGCTGGAAATTATGAGCTTGGAAATGGTATCCTATAGCTATGAGCCATGGGTAGGTTGAAAATGTAACTTGTATTTTATTATGTCTTCTCTTCTTGGACTCCTGCATGTGTCAAGTGAAATAAATTTGGTATGATTATGATGATGTTCTCTTACGTATATGAGCACGATCCTTCGCAGTAAAGCACTATTTGAGCAATAGTGAAAATCAGACCTGAAAAAATTTCAGGCCTGTACGGGATTCGAACCACTGACCTCTGCGATACTAGTGCAGCGCTCTACCAATTGAGCTAACAAGCCAACTGAGAGCAGGCCATCAAATTAATTCGACATAAACCCGTAGATGAATCAAACAACAACAAACATATGAAACATATGTGTGAACTGCGGTTATGAGACGTATATGAGCACGATCCTTCGCAGTAAAGCACTATTTGAGCAATAGTGAAAATCAGACCTGAAAAAATTTCAGGCCTGTACGGGATTCGAACCACTGACCTCTGCGATACTAGTGCAGCGCTCTACCAATTGAGCTAACAAGCCAACTGAGAGCAGGCCATCAAATTAATTCGACATAAACCCGTAGATGAAACTGCGAAGGATCGTGCTCATATACGTCTCATAACCGCAGTTCACACATATGTTTCATATGTTTGTTGTTGTTTGATTTATCATCTACGGGTTTATGTCGAATTAATTTGATGGCCTGCTCTCAGTTGGCTTGTTAGCTCAATTGGTAGAGCGCTGCACTAGTATCGCAGAGGTCAGTGGTTCGAATCCCGTACAGGCCTGAAATTTTTTCAGGTCTGATTTTCACTATTGCTCAAATAGTGCTTTACTGCGAAGGATCGTGCTCATATACGTCTCATAACCGCAGTTCACACATGTTTCATATGTTTGTTGTTGTTTGATTTATCATGTACGGGTTTATGTCGAATTAATTTGATGGCCTGCTCTCAGTTGGCTTGTTAGCTCAATTGGTAGAGCGCTGCACTAGTATCGCAGAGGTCAGTGGTTCGAATCCGGTACAGGCCTGAAATTTTTTCAGGTCTGATTTTCACTATTGCTCAAATAGTGCTTTACTGCGAAGGATCGTGCTCATATACGTCTCATAACCGCAGTTCACACATATGTTTCATATGTTTGTTGTTGTATGATGTTCTCTCTAACCATGAGGAGAATCAGCTCAGACATTAGTGATTAGACTTATTTTAATTTTTTGTAGCCCCTCTCAAGGAAGTGGAGATGTAACAAGCAATGAGAGCAAGGGTCTGGTTCCTGGCAAAACTGCTGATTGTTACAATGGAGCAGTTCTTGAGAAGTATTCATGGTCACAAACTATAACTGATATTGAAATAAAAATCCCAGTGCCATCCTCAGTAACAAAAGGTCGTGATGTTGGTGTAGAAATAAAGAGTTCCCACTTGAAAGTTTGGTTAAAGAATGGAATCCCACCTGATTCAGGTAAAGTGTATGTTTTAAGGCAAATTATTCAATACCTATTAGGAGGAAATGCCATTAGTCAATCTGCACAGTGATAAGGCTCAGTTCTGAAAAAGGCTGAGAATATTCTTTAATTTCAAGTAAATTTAGATTTTTTTCTCCTCCAGATTATCTTAGCAGAGTGTAATGGTACTGTGATAGAGTGGATACATGTAACAAAGAGACAGAAAACCAGAATTGGTTGCCTCTTTCCTGGTTCATGCTTTTATATGAAAAACACATTTTTGGTCAATTATACCCTAAAACTGGAACATGACCACACCCTTTTAAATTCTGAGGTAGTTTCTGGGTAACCTTAAGGCATGAGCTTGATTCAATGGCCATTTCTTACAGACAGCAGTATTCTTGTTGATGGGAAACTTCAGTGGTCGATAAAATGCGAAGATTCCATGTGGTTGTTGGAGGCTGGAAAACAGATCATTGTTAACCTGGACAAAGTAGAGGAGAGATTTTGGACAACTGTTTTGGAAGGAGATACTGAAATTGACAAGACCAAGGTTGACACAACTCGAGACATAAGTGAATTTGATGAACAAACTCAGAGTGATTTTCAGCATGTCATGTATGACCATCATCAGAAACTGCAAGGGAAGCCAACTAGTCAGGAAATGGTATGTACAGTATGTTATCAAATTTTCCTTTGGTTGAATAATTTTTTTCAAATCAGTTGAATTTGTGTATTTCTGTCTCACTAATTAAATTTCATAAGGAAAAATAGACACTGTTTCGACAAATTTAAACGAAAGGAATAATTTAACTTGCAATGCAGTCGTCCTCCTTATTTCAAATGACATGAGGTTTACTTCATAAAGTAGAGGTAATTTGCCGAGTTGCCATGTCACTCATGGTTAAGTGAATGAGAGGAAGTTGGACAAAAAGAGCTGGTGATGAGGGCAGGTTAAGTTTTCCCCTAATTACTAAAAGAAGGAATGACCTAAAACCACCCACAACCACTACCTAAAACCATCTAAAACCACCTACAACCACCCACAACCACTACCTAAAACCATCTAAAACCACCTACAACCACCCACAACCACTACCTAAAACCATCTAAAACCACCTACAACCACCCACAACCACTACCTAAAACCATCTAAAACCACCTACAACCACCCACAACCACTACCTAAAACCATCTAAAACCACCTACAACCACCCACAACCACCAACTACAACCATCTAAAACCACCTAACACCACCTTCAGAATACTATTGTGTGACAATTTGTGACAATTTAAAAGCACACAGGAAATGTTGCTGTATGTCTCACATGTCATGACCAAGTTACTAAAACAAGGAATGACCTACAATGAGCTACCATGGAAACAAGGACTGACCTAAAATGATCGACAACGATTTACAATATGACCTACAATGAGCTACAATGGCCAAAAAAAAAAAAAAAACAGGAGACGTGTGCATTAACGTAACATAACAGAATTTCTAGCTTGGAGATAAATTTACGGTGTATTAGTATGAGACATGTCTAATGACGATAATGATAAAAAAATGCGAAAAACCTTTGGCTTAAGATGTCTTTGAGGGTTTTATATAACAAGCCTCCCATAATTTTACACTATCATGAGACTATGAGTCCTATTTGGCCTGTCAACATCTTTTACTCCTTGATATTTTCATTCACGTATCACAGCGCCGCGAGACTATGAGACGTATTTGGCCTGCCAACACCTTTAACTCATTGATATTTTTAGACAGCAAAACAAAAAGGCCATCAAACCATCATGGGGCTAGAAAGTCACGCAAGCTACGCCACAATTTTTCGTAACACTCATAATAGCTCCCTGTTGGTCAGTGTAGCTCATTGTAAATCATTGTAGATCATTTTAGGTCATTCCTTGTTCCCACGGTAGCTCATTGTAGGTCATTGTAGGTCATTCCTTGTTTTAGTAACTACGTGTAAAAAATTCTCTTGGTGTTTTTTCCTGGTCATGACATGCGAGACATGCGACAACATTTCCGGTGTGCATTTAAATTGTCACAAATTGTCACACAATAGTATTCTGAAGGTGGTTTTAGGTGGTTTTAGATGGTTGTAGGTGGTGGTTGTGGGTGGTTGTAGGTGGTTTTAGATGGTTGTAGGTGGTGGTTGTGGGTGGTTTTAGATGGTTGTAGGTGGTTGTAGGTGGTTTTAGGTCATTCCTTCTTTTAGTAATTACGTAAGTTTTCCTCCTCCTCCTCCCTCCCCTCCCACTTTCCTCTTCTTTTTGTCTGTTGATCACCCCTAAGATCAATATTCTCTCGCCAGCCAAGATGGCGACCACTCATTTCGCGAAGAGGTGAGCGTTTGTTTGGCAAAAACACGGCTGTACTGCAGGCTATTAGCGTATGATACATCCTTGCTGAAACACACAATGGCTTTTCAACGGACATGTTGGACACTTTTTTTCTCTGTTATCTTTTGATCGTGCTGCTGAATGCCAATTTTGCAAAGTGTCTTATTTTGAAATTGCGGAGAATTAAAAACAACAACAACAACAACGAAAAATTTGAAACAAAAGGTGTGTTAAAGTAAGTGGATTGGCTGGGGCAAACTGCCCCAGACAGATGAACTTGAAATAACCGTTTAACCCTGAGCGCATTCATTGATTGACGCATTATGGTAATCCTTCCTTCTCGTTGTCAAGTGATTAACCTCTCCTGCTTAGTGCCTGCACTTAAGAAACGTATTTTTACTCGGGCTTATTTGTTAATATAGTTTGAGTTCATGTAGAGCAGAGTCATTGCGTGATCAAGATTCATGAAACTAACCATTTTTCTTAACCTCGCTCCTATATTATTTACAAGCGAATTGGTATTTAAATCTTCCATAAACCTTATTAGGTTTCCTGTGGCCATTGTCGTATTAGAAGACTTCTCATGAAAACAACCGTCTTCGATTCTTTTCTTAAGTACAATAGAACAAGTGTCGCTACCACCGTCGCCTTCGTATGAATTGATGAGAGCATGAAAAACAATTGTTAGTTGGGTATGGAAGGTTTATTAAGTTTATTTGGTGACTGAAAAGCAGAATTTGATCATATGTGTCGCATATTCCATATGTAATTTTGTACCCAACAGAATATATATCTCGTTCCCGATTGGTCATTCACGAAATTAGGGCATCAAAAAATAAATAATAATCATAAGAAAATGTTCATTCCTAAAAAATCTAGAGAAAGATTAAGTAGCTGTCCCAATTATTGCATTGAGCGAGTAGTTGAAAGAAAACAAGAGTATTTTCCAACCGTTGAGAGTTTTTTGAGTGATAAGAACTGAGGATGTGCGAAGGTAGCTTTGGAAAGTGGTTTTACTGAAATATGATCCACACAAAATCACATTCGTTGCTCGTGCATTTAGTAATTTCTGGAAACATGCGATCCCGTAGTTACTTGAACAATCGTTGCAGCGCTTATCTAGCATTTTTGCGCCTCGACTGTGGCTCTAATTCGAGAGAGGCGCTCAGTATTCGGGACATTGCTTATACTGGTAAATGCGGTACTTTGAAAGGTTTTCAAGTTGCTTTCGCTTTCGCCCACCGCTTGTACAACCACCTAAGCTTCCAAAACGTTATCACTGATTGCACTCGCATCCATCAATTAATTCGTTCGTTCATATCTATGTTTTTCGACCTAATAGCAATGTTGTTAGAAGAAAAAAAGTATATAACAATAATAATAATAATAATAATTAAAAAAGCAATATGTATATATTTTCATTCTGACAAACTTGTTTCAAGATTATCTCACTCTTCTGGGGATTTCTAGGCTTGTCGGAATGAAATGGTAGTCTCTGTTTTTTCCTGTCTCAATATATATCGCGCTCTACTTTTATGTATCGAGTACTGTACTACGGAAAAATCGAAAAGCAGACTTCCTATATTTCCGCACACACCCAGTGTGTGTGCGTGCGTGTGTGTGTGATAACGAAACCGTAATTAGGTGTATGTGTGTAATTTTATGATGGTATTTAAACTGAGAAGAGTGTCTGAAATTGAACGCAATGTTTCAAAATGGAACGAGCGCGCAGCGCGAGTTCGATACGAAATCAAAAGTATAACTTCGATCAAAACTGCGCGTCACGAAGTTCAATTACTACTTTATCACATCTATTTTGAAATTCTAAAAATTTAATCGCCCAAATACAGCATTTTAATTTTTCCAGTTTTGGGGATAAAAGTTACAAAATTCGCCGCATAATGATTTCTTTGTCTTTCATTTCCTGTTATTTGATTGGTTAAAAACAAGCCTTAAGGCCGTGGCCGAGGTTACATCAATGAGTTCTCTCCTTTTTATTGATACAGAAAACCCACGATCTACTCAAGAAAGCTTGGAATGCTAAAGGATCGCCGTTTGCAGGAACTGACTTTGATCCATCGAAAGTGAACATATCGCCAAGTTATGGGTGAATAAAACTCTTGTAATACACCGAAAGGAGACAGAGAACATGCTCTAAAAGGCACCTTAAGTGTTTCGAATTTGCGAGATTTAACACAAGCTGCGACCATCGTAATCAGTGTGCATGATGAAAAAAATTGAGGCGAAAGAGTAACCCGTGTTCTGCGGTATTGTAGCAATCTGTGATATTTCTATCATTGTGTCCCAGAGAGTTCAACTGAATGCTACATTCTAATCAAGCAAAATAGGGCGAAAGCCGTAACCTGTGAGCCATGGAGTAAAAAATAAATGTACATTAACTAATCCTAAAAAGCTTTTACATTGTGTAATACGGTCCTCCTTCTAAGAGGAACTCAAACTGCCTTATTATTATTATCATTATTTATTTTTTATTTTTTTAACCTGAAGTTGACTGTGAACATTGCATGTTTTACGAAAAGCAACAGCCTAACTGCAATTAATGAGTTCTCAAACATCGACTGCAGAAGTGAATATTTTTTTGCAAAATTTGTGCAAATGTCAATTTTACCTTTCTGTAGTAAATTTCATTACTTTTTACGGCATGGTAATCTTGCAGTTATTTTTCAACAGGAACTAGCATAAGTTAAAGATTTGTGGGGTGTGTTCGATTCAGTCAGCGTGCGACTCATGCATGTATATGCGGGAAAGTTCTGTGCGTTTGTGAATTGCGTAAGACACTAGATCGTTCCGAAAGACAAAAACTATCCAAGCAGAAAATATAACAATATGTTAGAGCAACGTTTGGTAATTACTCACAAATGAGAAATACTTGTTGAAATTTAGTAATATACTGTTCTTAAATCTTTTATGAGATCTTTCATGAAGTTTCTTCATGAGACGCTGGAGTGACGATCGGGCACAAATCACTTTCGATATAAAGTTCTCTTCTCCTTGCCCTGTCTGTCAGGCATAACAGGGGATGGAAGCCCCCAGCAGTAGGCTCACTAGGCTAGTCTAGGATGGCGACAAACTGTGAAACTGAACGCAGTTGAAGTACAAGCCAGCAGCACAACGTCGTGAACTCTCTCGGGATTGATTCTGGAAACGGTGCGAGTGGTATGTGTTCTCCTTCGTCGAACGCAAATACCGAGATCTTAATAAACTTAACCGAGGGGTAAAGGTGAAGATAAGAGGCGATATAAATAAGACTCCTTCTACGACGTGTCTTTTATAGTGGTGTGTACGCGATTACCTCATCCTTATTACTTTTTAAACTTCTTTTGTGCCCAAATTGAAAGTTCCCTAAATTGTGTCCCCTAGTCATCGGTTGAATTCGTTGTCACACCTATATATCCATAATTAAAGTTAACAGGAGCTTATGAGCCCTTTAAGCTCGTTGTCTGAGAACATTTGGATTATGACATGTGATTGACAGTTGCCCCCTCGATCAATAATCTACCATGCGTAGCAAGACCTTGAATTCAGTTAAGAGGATAGAGAACCAATTTTAAGTTTACCTTAGTTAACATAACATATAGTTTAAATCCATCGCATTTTTCTGTCAAGTAAAATTCGTCTGTCTTCCTTCCCATCTACCTTAGCGTTCTGTTCGCCGCTTTCTCTTTCGAGATTATTCACCCACGACTTCGAATGACAATTGCCTCCTTTTCATGCAGAGAGTAATAATCACATCGCGATCTTTGTGTCAGTTGTTTGAAACGACAGTTTCATCGGATCCATCGTAGTCCTGGCAATGTATGTGAAAATCTTGTTGGACTGGGGTTAACATTCACCATTTGTCACATCCGTAGTGGGAATATTTTTGACAACAACTCACTCGGATTAGACGACAGGTTTTCCCCCTACAATTTGACCAGGCGAGCAAGTTTTGCTTCCTCTGTTTACTCAAGGGTTTCTTTCCGGTCGCTTAACAAACATGTGAGCTTTTTGAAGTTCGGAATTAAACGTTGTAGATTGCGGTTTCCTTCTTCTGACGCAAATGACCGCAACCAAGGGGTCCAACGCGTTGTGAAACGAAATGCCTTTTCTTTGAACAATAAGAACATTTGGCTTTATATCATAAAAATTCTTGGTCTCATCGGAAAACTTCAGAGTTGTAATTTATAGTTTGGTTCTTACACCTAAAATGTGCTGTGTTATTTTTAGGTTTCTGCCCGCTGTTGAGTGCCCTTTGTTTAAACCTTCTGCTGGAATTTACAACAACGTTCCTTTTTAATCTTCTATATTGTCTTTTATTGTTATTGAAATTTAAAATCTAAAAATACTTTATACACTAATAGCCTGGTGTGCAGATGCTAACTGTTTCGAATATTTGAGCTAACTGAATCAGTCTCGGCTCTTTGGCTTTCTCTTCGTAATTAGTGTTTTTATAAGCTGCATTCATATAGTCTTGGATTAATGCCACTATTATTCCGTGTGAACAATGATTACAAATGGCACTGCCCCTTCACTGCGAAACAAGATAGCAGTGTTTCACTTGATAGGCTATGCTATAGTGTGCAAAGTAACACTGTTTGAACTTCTTGATTTCTTTTGATACAAAAGATTCACATCCCTGTAAATGCAAGAATTTTACAATTCTGCTGTTTTATTATGGCCGAAAAGCCGCCACAAACTTTTCCAGAAAATTTTTAAGGGCATAACTTATGTTTGAACAATCTGATTGGCCAGCCTGACCGGTTGAATATTGATACACGGGCAGTAATACAGTCCCAAAATGATTATCTCATAGGTATGATTTGATTTTTGATAAGTCTCGGTAAAGGAAGTTCATCAACTGCCTTCCTTCTAGCAATACCTTTCATTTCACCCATACAACCACATATTGTTCTTATGCAAACGTTTTGAAGAGCACGTGGCTGATGACTTCTGACAAGTCTTCCGACACAAGGATATCTCTCTACACACTGCATTTCCCAGTGAAAGAGGCTGTCCATTTGAAGTGGATTGAGATCAGACAAGTCGTCCATTTCGGATTTGTTCGTCAAATTTTCATCCAAAGAAAAGGTTGCTAAAGCACGGCTGGCGTCTCGACCAGCAAGATGGTTGAACGGTCCATCCATAAAATACTGAATGTCCTGTGTGTGTGTAGCATCAAACACTCTGCCGTTAACCGCAAAATATATTCTCTGATTTTTGATGCCGTCGTATTGCTGTAATTCGCTCACAGTAAATGAGCGATTTTCAAAGTCTGGTGGAGGCAGAAATTCATCTCTGTTCGTCACTTCTTGTTGCGTAGTACAAAATAATTTCTTCCACGTAACTTGTAGGGTTAACAGGATGGAGCCAAACAGACACAAGGCATCTAAATGCACTTGGACAAGCCAAGTTAATATGTCGTACAAACGACCATAAACATCGCCTTCGTGGCCTTTAAAACGAACCTTATATCCAGATATCATCCACTTGTTCATCGTGATGCCGCGAGTCGACTTCTCGATTTTATCACCGGGATGTTACCAGTGTCGCATTCAATTCTAAAATGCATATTACGCTCTGTTTACAAACTTTTACAATGGCAACACTCAACAGGATTGGGACCTCGTGACGTTTTCTTTTGTCACGGATGACCAAGTTTCCGGTGGAATTACTCTGTCCCTTATCACTCAATTCTAATCGTTTGTTCACGTGCTGGTTAACAGCAGTGCCTCACGGTGTACATGAATAGAATTTGAACATACTTGGACTTTGATCGTTTATAACTTGATGTGTGTAACCTCACATCCCACGGCGATGCTGTTAGCAGCGAGCATTTAAGGGAGGGCGGCAGTGTTTTAATGCTCTCGATTAATCGATTTTCTCTGTTTATGAACATCCCACGCAATAAACGGAAGTTGTTACGATAAACTGATAGAAAAAAAAATAGCTCTTCACTCCAAAACAACACGACATTGCATTCATTACGAAACAGGAATAAGTTTAAAAGAAATTGTGCAATCGGAAAATGGTGAGCCCGTTGATGCTTACGTATGTTCGCATGCACGTACACCGGAAAACAGGTTGACATCAAGAACACAACGTCAAATTCCATAGGTCATGTTAGACAAAGACCTTGAATCAGAAAACAAAGTGACGTTCGTTCTTGTTGAAGACGGAGTCACGGCGTGCGTTACACCATTGCCCTTTGTGGGTCTGGTTCAACATTTAACTCTTGAGGAGGGGGGGGGTGTGGGTGATTTTGAAAGAAAATTACACGCCGCCCAAATGTAACAGAAAAAAGGGCATTTAGAACGGAAAAAAATATCCTTCCCAGCAGATTGCTGGAAAAAAATTTTCTTGATGACCAGAAATCACCCACCCCACCCCCTCAAAAGTTAAATGGTCGGCCCCTTAGCAACGGTCATGTTCTAATACCATTTGAAATTGGACTCGTGCCATAAACGATCCAAAACTAATTTATTCGAATTAAAAATTTTATTCAAAAATAATTCAAAATAAGATTTACAATAGTTAGCAATTCATTTTGTCCTTGATCTTGCTTTGAACTGTCATCCCTATCGACTTCAAACATTCGTCAACAAGAATGGTTGAATAATAGCATTGAAAATACTCACATGCCACTCCCTTTCACAAACTTTAACAAAAAAGGTTGCTCCACCATGCGCCGGACACAGATGACGTAAAATAAAGGAAATAAAGGTTAAAAAAACAATAGTACAACACAACATGGTGGGTTCAAAACAATAACCAAAGCACTTCACACACTTCCCTCAAAAGCACTCGCACACATTGTCCTCTATTTTTTCCCTTTTCCTCAAGCATTACACCTCAAACACATCACGAACTATGTTACCGCGGTCGAATCGACACATGTGGTCACGTTTTAGGACACCAGTCCCGCTGAATTCGTGCTTTGCTCCAGAACGTTTACACTGAGTACGATACACTTTACCGATATCGACACTCTCATAGAAAAGTAATGTTAATTGTTGTCATAACCTTTCGGCAAAAAGTTATTTGTATGAGCAATCGCTCTTGTTCATTTCCTTCTAGATGCGTGTTCAGTTGAGCATTTCACGATCAAACCAATCGCTTCACGCACAATCCATTGCCCCGGAAGTGGCTTTGATATTATCATCTTTAACTAGAGTGTTTTTAACAATACTGTTGAAAAAGGAAATGCTTCCCTTTGATTTAGGCTCCTTGTTGTTTACACCCAGCCAGTCCGCTTAAAAATAGACTACGTACAAGATCCCAAAAGTAAAAAAATAAGACGTTTCACCTACAGACGAAACTAAAACCAACCCAGGTTATAAAAATGAATCCAGCTTTAAAAAAATGAAAAATGATGTTGGTAAAAGAAGCTTATTTAAGCTCACTCGATGCGCACTCGGCCGGATGTAAACGTAAACCAGGCCCACAGCCACCTTTACGGTCTGTGGTACTAACTGGTACTAATCAGTCTCAGCTTGACAATACTCAGACCCAGACCCCGTCCAAACGTATCCAGATACATATGAAAACGGAATTTCTCTTCCGTTCTCAAAACCAAACGCGTCCACACGTAGCGTACTTGAATCATTTTCTCTTGACGAAAACGGTAAAACAATGAAAATACAATAGCGTCCATTACAAACCATGCGTATTGCTGGGAATATTGGAGCCTAGAAGGAGCGATTGGCGCTAACTTTTAACTATGTATACTTTACGATTTTCTCTTGAACATCTGACAACGTGATTTGACGGGTGTGTAGAAAACGAAGACCTAAGACCAAAGACCCAAAAACGAAGACCCCCCTCAAAATCGCTCATAAACATCTAGAGACGGGTATCTCGGCCTCAGATGTGTAAAGAAGACAAGATCTTCAATTATAAAGAATTTCGACCTGGGTCTTCGTTTTCTACACATCCCCCCGGTGTGTAGAAAACGAAGACCCCCCTCAAAATCACTCGGAAACAGCTGGAAACTGCTTTTAACGACTCCTAGACATCAAAGGAGTGTAAAAAACAACACGGCTCCTGACGATTTTCAATTATACAGAATTTCGACCAAGGTCTTCGTTTTCTAGTGT